CATATCCTTCACTGTATCATTATTATTAGTATTATTATTCACCTTATTATCAATTTTTCGTTACAGCGATAAATAGAAAAAACAACAGAATGGTCTTTAGAAATCTCATTCGAAGATATATTTAAGCATATCGAAGTTTATTATTTTCGTAATTTCATCAAATCGTCGATAATCGGTTCCTATTAGTGTGGCTTTCCATTCGTACATTATTACTGTTAATTATTTCGTCCATTTCGTAGGTAAGTGTTAAATTTTAGTTATTTCATTGAAATTTTAACTGTAATTAAGCAAACTATCCCAGTCAGATAAGATCAATAAAAAAAGCGTTGTTACACGTGAGAATATTAGGTTTTTACTTTTTCGAAAAAAATGTTTTTGAGAAAAATAGCGAATTTCAAGCCAATACGATTAGGGAACGTGATTTTTAGAACAAAATTATCTTTTCACTGTAAACAACAAATATTTTTACTTGTTAAAACATTTTATTATGATTCTTTCTCTGACTGACAAATGGTACCAAAACTCATCAAACATTTATATATCATAATTTTCTTTAAGACAGCACCCAGTTATTAGATAAAAATTCTTATAGTAGTTATAATACTTTTGCTAGTAAACTTTCCCGCCTGAGCGATGAAGATCATGTCAGTCGTAGATAGAATTTTTAATAAGTCAAAAATTAAGCAAAAGACGAATATCTGATTTTTCTTTTTTCTAGTTTCTGATAGTACCTTTGTCATGATCAGCTTAATAATAAAAAAAAAATCTTGCAATCGAACATATATATTTATATATATGGATAGATAAGTAGAAAGATTGATAGATAAGTAGGTAGATAGATAGATAGGTAGAAAGATAGACAGATAGGTAGGTAGATAGATCGAATAGGTTCAAAATTCAACAATTCATTTCCTGAATCTGAAAAATTTCAATGAAAGAGATTAATAAAGCATTACATTATGAATCTATTCTGGTCTGTAGATATATTTATATCTTCAGTTTAAGATTTTTTTATTCTTAACTTGATGACACAAGTACTATTGAAAGCTGGTAAATAAAGAAATGAAAAGCTTCATATTCGTGTTTTATTTAATTTTGCGTTGCTAATCCCTTTATTTCTGAGGTGAGCAGAACACTAGAGGAAATATTTGAAATTTACAGACCTACTAGCTAAAACAAAGTTCATATGAGATCTTAGCTATCTTCAAATTATTATGACAATGTTAAAATGTTGCAAAATTTTAACGAAAAAAAAAACGTAAAAACCGCACATTTTTTGGATTTTTTTCCGTTAAAGTTGATGGATGCGTTTTATTTCGTTCAAAACTTTAACGCATTTTAACGCGTTAAAGTCTTGAATGAAATGGGGGTGTGGGTGTGGGTGTTCATGCACATCTCTCCAACCGCACCCACATCCTCTTTTATTGATAAATCACAAGCATTTTTTGATTAATTATCTTAATATGTCGTTAATTATATTCGAACATCAATTATATTCACTTACATAAAATAATCGTACACTAATTGAATGAAAATAATTTATTACTATTAAAGAGGGTTCCATAAATAACTGATGATAAATTATTAATGATACGTTTCATACTTTTTCTTGACGCACAGAACTGAAATTTTCAGTACATACATATCTAATCAAGATCTTTTATTTGTGAAAGTTCAATTTTCTAGCTATAACTACTGGTGAAATACATCGACAAGATCGAAATACATAAATTTTCTTACTTGTTTTCTGCATTTTATTTTCACAGTGAAAATAATACAAAAGTTAAGTACGAAAATCTACGTATTTCTATCTTGTCGATGTATTTCACTAGTAGTTATAGCTAGAGAATTTAAACTTTCACAAATAAAAGATGTTGATTACATATATAGGTGATAAAAATTCCAGCTCTCTGCGTTAAGAACAAATATGAAAAATATCATTAATAACAATTTATCATCAGTTGTTATGGGATGCTCATTATCAATAGAAAAAAATTGTTGCAAACAAAGTTCTAGTCCATATTTATTACCAAATAACAAACGCTCACTAATTGAGAAAAATATTTTAGAAAATGAATTTCAATTGAATTCAATTATATTCATTTACTTATACGGTTAGGTTTAATTTTACCAAAAGAAATTGATCATCTTGGTTTCCAACACCAAATTTAGCATCATTCATAAAATATTTAGAAATACATCGATGTACACTTTTACAAATATTATCAACACAAAATATATAAAGAAATACCATTGAATGACTTTCAATTAAGAAATACGAAAAAAAATATTTATTAGAATTTGATTATTATATTCATGAACTCATTGGAACAAAATTAACAGATATTATTGATATACCTACATGCTCTGTTTTTAAAATAGAATCAGAAAAAGTTTAGATAAAAAAATCATCATATCTGTATATGAATTTTTTTTATTATATTGTTTAAATTCACATTTATTAAATAAGATATAATGTAAACATCTATGACAGTTATTTTGTTACTATCTTATGTAGCCAATGATATAAAAAGTTTTCTTTTTTCCTTTTAAGGTGAATAAAAAAAACATTAGGTAATACCATACTTCGTAACACGTGCTGTGTTTATAATATATCTTAATTACTCTAATCCCGACCTTTCACATGAAACACATAAGTACAGAAATATCTTTCTATTGTGAATACTTGCCTGTTCCATTGAACTATTTTCGTCTGAAATGAACGTCTATATTCTCAACTGTCCACATTTTCTCCTGTACTTTCCATAGTCAAGAATCTCTCGAAAAAAACCTTCGAAAAATTAACGGGTTGAAAATCTTTTTTTTTTTGATTTTATGTCGAAAGTTATCATTTTCTGAAATTTTTGCTTTCTAAATTTTTAACCATAGTATTTTTCATTTTTCTAGAGTTTTCTGTTTCAGACTTTTTAGACAATAATTTTTTCATTTGATAGAACTATGCTTGGTAATTGTAGACTCAATAGATTAATCTTCTACTACTGGCTGTGTGAGAAAACGTCAATAAGGCACAAAAAAGGAATGTACGAATAATGAGTGTAAAGTTTTAAAAACAAGATAAGAAGTCTCATTTGTATTTAAGCTATGAATGACCTTTTTCATTTATTCTGAACAGTAACTTTGTCTCCACTTCTCTCAAAAATGAATGTCATTTGAATATAGTCTAAATCAATAGAAGAGGAAGCCATATTCTCTGTACAAATTGATAGTTCAGAAAAAGTTAGATAAATATTTTAAAAAGATTCGACAGACTTTAACATCTGTAAGGACTACAATAAAACAAAATATATGAAAAACATCTCGAAAGTCAACACTTTGAAAAGGTTTCTGATGTGTCTGCTATAGAAACATTATACTGTAAAAGCTTAATTTCAGGTTATTTTTAGTTCTCTTTCAGTATCAGGCATACACGATGTTCAAACATACACTATGATTCATTTTAATATCTTCAATCAATTATTGTCAATGTCAAATTATAATATACCTCGATATATATATATAGAATATCTCAAGAATAAATTTAAAAAGAAATCTGTGATTTTCACCATTCAAAAAAGAAATGTATCGGAAGTGAAAATACACGAAAATTATGTGAACTATATATTGGCCATGCTAGTAAATTTTTGCTGAAGATTTACACCAGAAATTTTTGAAAAAACTTTTTCAACTAACTAGGAGTTTTAATTTATGGTATCGACAGCAAAGACATTTCTCTTTCGATATATGCAAGATCACCTCTTCTAGCTTATCCCATTCAGGAGTTTTAAACATTTTACTACAAGCCTTCAACTCACCTAACTGACTACTAATCATTGAAAACTGTATTGAGTTTGGTGTATTTGTCTACATTGAGTCCAATAATAGTATTTCTTTTTAGTTTCAATATGGTCATAAATTATTAGATGATGATGATTTTTGTAATTCATTCTATAGAAAACTTTTAAGATTAGATGGAATATTGTTTTAAGATCTTGTCTTTCCAATATCTAATCGTTTCAAAACTAAAAAAGACATGATCATTCGATTTAGCATAGACAAATACACCAAACTCAATACAATTTACAGTGATCATTGATGAATTGATTGATTTCATGGTTTAGAGTAAAACGTTTATAATGTCTGAATGAAATAAACTAGAAGGTTTTCTTTTGTGTACATCGACACACAAATGTCTTCATCACAGATTCCATAAACTGAAACTCATAGTCAGTTAAAAAACTTTCTCCAAAATGTTCTGATCAAAATCTACGTCAAAAACTCACTATCATGACTAATACGTAATTGATATAATTCAACATACTTTCACTTCTCTCACACTAATCCCTTGAATGGTGAAAAAAGAAGATTGTTAGTTATATTCGTTGTCAAAATATTTAAAAAATATTGAGTTGCATTCTATTTTAGCTACAAAAATAGTTATATATTATTCCATTGAAAACATCTTTAAAGCCAATTATCTTTCACTCTATATGATATATATCAGTTCTATATTTTAATCACATAGAATTGCACTGAAAAGCTTTTGTTTTTCAATTCTTTAGCACTTATTGAACAAAAAAAATCAACATCATTTTTTGTTGGCCAATTTTTATTTTTTATTAGATATAATTATAATCGAACGCTGCATCATCACATCGAAACAATACAGAAAAGAAAAAAGAATAGCTTACAATGATTGAAATAAAAATAAGCATTTAGAAAGAACTAAGCGAAATAAAAATGCACTAGAGCTGAAGAAATATAATAATACTTCTTCGATTCTATAACTACTATAGTAATTGGATCACGATGTTTTAATAGGAAGCAAATGGAATGTATGTTTCGTATGATAATGCACCATTATTTATTTAAAGATTTTGAGCTAGAAATAGATGAATGCAATTTAATTATGATATCTATAAAATGATAAAATTGATGAAAAGAAATACTTACCAAGGAAATTACGGAATTCATGTTGATCAAGGGAACTATTAAGGTTGGTATCAGTAGCAAGAAGAGCAGCCTGTTCCCCATGATCCACCCCAACCATAACCAGCACCATAACCAGCACCATAACCAGTACCATAACCAGCACCATAACCTAAACTACCGCCATAACCTAAACTACCACCATAACCCAAACTACCACCATAACCCAAACTACCACCATAACCCAAACTACCAGCATAACCCAAACCACCATAACCACTATAACCATAAGCACCACCAAGAGCAAGACCACTATCAATAACTCCACCACCCAATAATCCATGGCCATATGCAGCAAGACCATAACCTACATAACCAGAAGCTGACTACAAAAAGAAAACGATGGTTATTTAAGAAAACAAAAAACAAGAATATTATGATGAACATACGATATCTTCAAGAACACCAGCAGAGCGAGCGGTTGAAACGAGTGAAGCAGAATCAAGTAGGCTAGCACCATATGTTTGAACATAAGCAGATGGGTTAGCTTGAGCAACACCAAGACGGTTGACTTGACGGAGAACACGAGCTGGGTTTTGTTCGTATTGGATGATGACATTTTTTGGAGCTGGGTATGGTGCTGGAAGAGGAGCACGTTGAACAAGGGTACGGCGTGGTGCTCGAGGTCCATATGGGAGCCAACGTTCGATGAAGATGTCACCTAAAATCAATAAATCACACTATAAAATCTCTCCACAAAAAATAGAAAAGAAACTACTAACGTGGTCGTGGTGGAGCAGGTGGAACACGTTCGACGACGACCGATCGTGGTGGAACTGGTATGCCGGGCAAACGACGAATGACTGTTTGAGATGGGATCGGAGCTGGTGCTGCTGGTGGGTGTTCACGGAGAACAAGTGGAGGTGGTCGAGGAAGAGGTGGAGCCACTTGACGAAGGTGAAGTGGTGGTGGAACAGGTGGTTGATGTGGGCGCACTTCTCTGATGATGAGTGGCTATAGGAAAAGAAAAAAAAAGTAAATATTACGATACAGTTCATGATCAATGATAGAAATGACTTACGCCTGGGGGTGGAAGTGGTGGAGGTTGAAGGTATCGAAGTTGAACATTTTGTGTATATGTGTGTACACCACCAGGAGCTGCACGACGGATGATAGTTGGATTTGGATCTTGATAGAGACCTTGAGCATCAGAAGCATACTGTACTTGACTAACTGCGAGTGATCCTGCATCTACAGCTGCTCCACCAAGATAGAGAGAAGCATCACCAACAAGTCCAGCACTGCCTGCATATGATTCATAACCACTGAGACCACCACCAACTAATGATGCATCATAAGCACCACCATAAGAAGCACCACCAAGATAAGCAGCATCACCACTCCAACCGGCGCCCCAACCAGCACCATAAGCACCACCATAGCCAGCACCATAAGCACCACTATAACCAGCACCCCATCCAAGACTACCTGATGATGCGTCCCATGAAGAAACACCACCAAGATTGTGACCTACAAAATGCAACAATTATCATTAATTAATACTCTCACAATGATTGAAAATCTATCAACTTACCTACGAGGTTACGGAATTCACCGAGATCAATACGTCCATCACCATTAAGATCAGCAGCTCGGAAGACAGCGTCTGCAGCCATAATCGTTTGTGTATTGTTAATGTGAATAGAGTACCAACGAGGGGAAGATGAGAAGTGAAGAAAAGCTACGAGTAGATCACTGTTTATATAGGCCCAGCTGATCGTGCATGGATAGAGATAAAACAAGGGAAGGGGAGAGAGGGGAAAAGGCAAGCAACGGTATATTTTTGCTCATACGCATCACTGCTTTGCTTGCCAAGCTTCTTTTTTTTTTTTTTTGTGCATGAAATAATGGTAACCCCACATAAAAAAAAACGATAAGAAAGAAGAGAGAGAGATATTGCGCGAGAAAAATATAAAAATATGTATTCATAAATAATGTTGAGTCTATTATTAGCCACAAAACAGTGAAAAAAAAAATAATCATATCGTTTAATTGTTGTTCAGTGAACTGTATCAGATGATAACGACGATTTCAGTTTAACTTGATGCAAAGTTTATAGAATAATTGAGATTTATATTAATAAAATTATTGTTATATTGAATACTAATAAGCTATTTAATATGAACTATGATTCTTTGAAAGAACTTTGAAATATACAAAATATGAAAAGAAAAGCAGTAGTGGTGTTTTTTTTTTGGTAAATAACAATTGGCTAGAATAAAGAAATCAATGATTCACTATTTTATCTCAACATGTGGCTTGATGTATCTGGTTAAAATAATCTGTTCTTTTTTCAATGGGAAATTTATAATAGAATATTTTTGATGAATGAGTGCGCACTCATATTTAATCTTAGATGTGTAGTAATACTGTAAATACTAAAAAACTAATTAAAGGTTTCACTGGACACTGGTTACGAGAGAATACTTGATTATATTGATATTGAAATACGAATATAATTCAAATAATAAACCTTTGTACAATCACCTGTTTATTTTCTTCGGGATTGACTCATTAGTTATTTTATCTTATTCTCATTTTTTTATTGCATCCAAATAATTGTCAACAATATTAATCTCGATAACAAACTTTTTCATCTGGAAGTTAACAATAAAAAGTAGTTTAACTCTAATCAACAACAAATAAATTCGATTAATAAAAATATTTTTGAAACTTTTTTAAATAAAAACCATACTGATATAAGTGAATATAACAGTATAATAATAGCATTAACTAATTTTGTTGAAGATAGTGCACAAATGATAGAACAATATAAACTAAAAAAATATAAATATTGTACCACAAATGTCGAATTGTATTTTATTAAACAATATTGAACAAACTAATGAAGATTCATTGAAATCATTTCGGTATAACAAAAAATAAATCATTTTTTTTTTCCTTATTTTTCTTATTATTTTAACTTTGAATAGAATGCTCAAAACGTGCCATGAAAGTTTTAAGTTTAGCGATGCTTCTTTCTTTTATAACTGATCATGAATATAGATTAGTACTTATTTGTGCTAATAAACTAAATATATAACACTACTGAGTGGTGTTTGTCAAAAATTAACTACCACATGGAATCAAGAAATAACTGTTTCGAAGGAATTTGATTCTAGTAAACAATGATCGATATCAAATACTTATCAAGCTCAAGCATATGTAATTAATGCTTGTTTAAGTATCGAACCTAGCAATCTATCTCGATATACTATTCGAATAATTTTAACATCACTACTATTTCCTAGTGAAAATTTTCTTAATCTTGACGTAAAAACTAAAGTCCCAGATCGGTCAGAAGACCCAACATTTTGTATTCTGTCTAATTGTTCATAGATTACAATGCAGTGAAAAATATACCTAAGAAAATCAGGATTATTTTGATGACAGATTTACAAATCTCATTTTCCCTATGAAATCTCTACCTTTTGCAGGATAATTCGAGTACAATCGATTGAAAACGTAATGTATTACGTCGATTATTCTTGATTTTCTCAGTGATAATTTGAGTTCGATCACTAATTGATTATAATGTATTCAATTGATTAAAATTTCGATGGATAAAAATCCATTTCAGGAATTTCTATTTGAGTATCAACAATTACTAGGGCAGTTATTTGATTTTGATTGTTAATCGATTTTAATCTGTCTCAATTAATTCTCAAGTTGTTAGAGAATATCGGTAAGATCTTTACAAAACTAAATGATTTGGATTTTTTAATTAAAAGATGCACTTTGAAAAGCTCTACAAAAAAAATCATATAAAGAAAATTTTTGATGATTTTCACAGATCATTAAAAGTGACGATCCATCAGCAGTTAGAAATCGTTCGCAACATTTGGTATCTTAAATATATCTCGACTTAAGAAAATGATAAAATGTTGAGTTTTTTTTAAAAAGATGCGTCTTCGAAAGGTCTACAAAAGCTGTATCATCAACTTCTTGTAGCAAGACAAAAAAAGTTGCCCAAACACTTTTATCATGCTCAATACAATAGGATATAGCACTGACATACGAATTGTCTATTTTGAGTATTTGAAAATTATTAAACCAAATCAATACGAATTCCTTTATATGATTTTTTGTAGAGGTTTTCATGTCGAATCTTTTTAAAAAAAAATGTTCAGTATTATAAAATTTATCTATGTTGAGATATTTGCAAAATACCCTATGTTGCAATCATTTTGATTCAGCCGATAATTTAAATATAAAATAATCTCATTAAAATTGGTTTTAATCAATAGCAAGTTCATCCACAACAAGAATCATGTTTACGAACGCACGTTATATACACAAAATTATTATATAGAAAAACGTTAATTATGCATACAGTTGGTTGGTATTGATTAAAATATTTTAATTAATTTAAATCGACTTAAATCGATTACTTATGTAATTGCACCGTCTCAATTTGAAACAATTTACATAGTTGTCCTGAATTTAATTCATTTGTCAGACTTTAATTTGATGACAACTTCATGGTTTCTAAGCAGGAGGAATCAAAAAAAATTATGCCAAATTATGGTTTCGCGTTCGAATATCGAGAAAAGTGCTAACCTTCCATGCATACGATTGAAATCGACTAAGAAGTGATAATAGATTAAAATTGATTAAGCGGTTATAATAAATTGAAATAACTTAATGGGTAATAATAGATTGAAACAGATTAAGCCCCCCCCCCCCCCCCCCCCCTCAAAAATTGATCTCAGCCCAGGAACATCCAAACAGGCTGATATTTGGAGGATATGTTGGGCCTGCGATAGGACGCACGTGATAAAAGTTTCAGCCTTCTATCCTGATGTATAAGGTAGATACGAACTAAACAAGGGTCGAAAAATAGCTTACCGTAGCCCCAAAAAATTTCTATGGGTGTTCATTCAATATGGTTCATTGTTTTTTCATTTGAAAGAACATGTCAGGATGCAGTGCCTATGAGGACCCTTTTTTTAAATTCTTATCTTTAATAAGAAAAAAAGGGTTCACAAATTCATTCACTCAAAAATCCCTCAAAAAAATGATGCTTATATTATAAAATCGGTTTTCAATATAATAATAGGAAAGCTTTATCAAAAAAAGGGCCCTCATAGGCACTGCAGTTTTTGATGCTCTATCAAACAAAAAAAAAATATTTGACTTTATATCGGATTATAATTGACTTTTGGTGGGGCTACGTAATTCGACCATCATTTTGAGAAAAACCTAAAACAATTTTTTTTATGTGAAATTTCCGAGAAACATTGTGTATTATGTGAATATCTCTACTTAGTCAAAGGATATAATTTTCCTTCTTCTTCGGAAGTTTCTCTAGGAAAAGTTCTAATGAAACTGTATAGAAAAAAACATCTATTAACCTGATAAAATGGTCTTTCAAGGCGTTACTATAAGAGACGAGATGCTGACGGTTATTTATCTAAATTTTCGGATTTTTTTTGAAAAATTGTACGTATGCACAGGAGCTGCAATTAGAAATACTGAAACCAAAAAAGGTAGCCAATCTCATAGAATAGCTTTACGTATTCAATCATAACTAGCTGTTACTATATATTGAATATGGAGGGTTAGATCTGACGTTAGAATGACTTGCGCTAATGTGCAAGACCAAATATGCTATATTTATTTTTTTTCTTCTTTCTCTCTCACCATCTATATAGTAAAGTTTCCATTCTTTGTGATTAGTTCTATCTTTTCTTTAACTTTATTTATTTTATTGTTTTGTTTTCTTTTTTATTCTGTTTCTGTGATTCTCATTATTATTGTTATTAAGTATGTGTTTTGAATCTCAATAAAAAGAAAAAAAAACTAGTAATATGTCAAGAACTCAACACACACTCTGAACAAAAAATGATGATGTGTTTTTTCCATTTTAGATTTATTTCTAATTTCGCTATACACACACACATATATATATATATATATATATATATATATATCTGAAATGGCCAACAAACGGCGCCCGAAGCACGGTTTCAAAAGGTATGCTTTGTTTATTTACATACCATCATAAAAAATTGTATTTTATTGATAGAGTTCGTCCACGAATAAAAAACTTACGTTCAAAATCCAAACCATCTGGATCAGGAGTACCAGCAACATCGGCGTCAATATCTACTACTAGTGAACGTACATTATCTACTTCTAGTCAGAAAATTGTCAAAAAACAGAAAACATACAACAACTTGTCATCTGATTCTAACGTACCCTTGGATGCCTATTCTATTATTCAAAACAATTTATTACTAAAATTATTATCGAAAACAAAATGCGAATTGTGTGAAAAGCAATGGGATGGTAAAATACATATGAATAAAAGAGAAGGACTTTTCGTTATCCTCTCCTTTGAATGTGGTTTTTGCAATAATAAAATTAGCATACGTGAGTAATGATATGGTCATATTTCTCGATAATCTCACTATTATGAACTTTTTTATTTTTCAGCTTCAAGTCCTCAAGTACAAGATTCTAGACGTCATGATATTAATGTGAGAACTCAACTTGCAGGACATTTAACAGGTATTCGTCATGCTGGATTGAAAAGAATATGTGCAGCATTAAATTTACCACCACCATTGGAAGAAGGACGTCACAACAAACATGATAAAGAATTATTACAAGTAGTCCGAAAATTCGCCAACGAATCCATGTCAACAGCCATGCAAGAAGCTATTGATGTTGCCAAAAGCACTGATATTACAGTTAGTGGTGACGGCACATGGCAAACAAGACGCTTCTCTAGCAAGCATGGTGCTGCTGACTTGTTATCAACATGTGATTCTCCGAAAGTCGTTGACATTGAGACATGTTCAAAAACATGTAACGTTTGTACAGGTACTTTCCTTGGATTATTTGAATGATTCAGTAAAAAATTGAAAATATATTTAACTATTTTTTTTTTACTTTAGGTGCCAAAAGCTTATTACAATTAGGAACACCAGAAGCTCGAGCAAAATATGACCAAATTATCATCAATCATAATTGTGGAAAAAATTTCTATGAACCTTCTGGCAATATGGAAGCGTCATGCATCTTAAGAATGTTTCGAAGGTCTCAAAAGAAATATGGTGTTCGTTACGTAAAATATGTCGGAGATGGAGATTCAAAAACATTTTCTAAACTAAAGAAAGAAACACCTTACAAAGGTACGAATAAGTTTCCTAATTTTTCATAATATGAGCATTAGAAAGACTTTATTTAGTTAGGAATAGAAATACAGAAAATTGAAGATATCAATCATTTTGGAAAACATCTAAAACGTGCTCTTGAAAAAATTAAACGACAATGTGATAAAACGATGTTATCAGATGGAAAACGAATAGGTGGAAAAGGACGTCTTACAAGTAATAGCAATGAAGAAATAATAAATAAAAACATATGAATTAAATCCTTCACTTATTTATTTATAGATCAGATGATAACTCGTTTTCAAATATATTTTTGCGAAGCAATTCGGAAGAATAAAAATGATCTTGATAAATTATATAAAAGCGCACAAGTTTGACATTCTTGATTCTTTACACTTTGACATTCATCTGCTTCTTTTTTTTAGGCAATGTATTGGCACAAGTTTTCAACAAACTCCGACCATCATTATCAGTTTTGGGATGAAGCGTGGTGTGGATATTTACAAGCAAAGAAAAACAATACTCGATACAATCATACACCACATGGATTACCTAGAGCAGTGATGAATAAAATCAAACCGTCTTTTGATTCAATTTGTAGCAAGCAAAGTTTAATGCGTGTTTTGAATGGTTCAACACAAAATGCAAACGAGGCTTTTCATGCTTTAATATGGACAATGTCGCCGAAGCATAAAGCAGCCTCAGGTGTTACATTTAATATTGCTTGTTACTTAGTAGTAGTGGTTTTCAATGATGGCTATTATAATTTAGGTAAAAAATACTAGAAAAAATGAAGATTAACACATATTTTGAATTCATATCATGCTACTTTCATTATTTTTAGGAAAAAATTTTCAAAAATGATGCAGTTATATCGGCTTTTACACTGAGAACATACTGATATCATTGGATAATGAGCGCTTACATACTATCAATAAAAAATATATGCGCAAAAAACGGAAGTTGATCAATCGAGCTGAAGCAATCAAAGATACAACTGATGAAGAAACACCTAATGTATCTGATGCTGATGATGTTAGTGAAACATCTGATCAACAAAATGAAAAAAAAAATAATGATGATGAAAGCGGGCATGGTGAAGATCTTTATTATAATCCAAAAAGTGGGAAATGGACGGACTCGGACGACGACAACTAAATTTTTCAAATCGATAGTTTTTAGTTTTTTTTTGTGTATATATATGAACACTTTATGTTTTATTACTATTTGTATGTATGATAAAAACGCCTTTATCTAATAAAGCTTTTTCTCATTAGTATATTTTTATCTGTTTGAGACAAGCTTATTTACCGAGAATATCTGAAGATGCGGGTAACATAAATTTTTTTACAACTTTTACACCAATTATCGAAATACTTTTCTAAAAGACGAAAACACTATCAGAAGTTGGTACAAAATAATCGACTGATCCACAATCATATAATCGGAATAACATAAACTAAACCGCCTAGTCATCTTCTACGCTCAAAAAAAACATTTTTTTAATCGAAAAAAGACTTTTTTCTACAAAATCCTCCTTTTTTTAAAAAAATTTAATTTTTGAAAAAAAATAGATATGCGATGACGACAATGCACTTTTTTGCGAAAATCTACTTTTTTTGAAGGACCAAACCTCAAAATCATTCTGATTCTTAATGTTCAGGCCTCATAGTATTCAGCTATGCGTTCCCCTCAGATTTCGTTTTTCTCACGAAATTTGACATTTTTTGAGGGGGGAGGACCCTTAAGAAAAACAAAACAATACTGTCACATATGACCCATACTATATTTAAAGTTGTTGGATCATCTGAAGAGAATTGATTTGGAGAAGCAGTATTGTTTAATTTCGCCTTTTTAATATCAATTGTATTTGTAATGGACATATTTGCTTTAATAGTATTTTTTTCTGCCATAGCCAATTTGAATAAAGTTTACATATATATGTTGAAATATTATTCGAATATCAATTGCAGAACTACAAAAACAAAAAAACAAAAACAAAAATGTAAACTATAAAAGTATTTCAAAGTTGGGATGATAGATAAAGATTTATTATTGGGAGACAGAGTATTAAGGATGCAAAAGATATGTAGAAAAGTAGGATAATGTAGATAGAGAAAAGATAGGAATATATAACTAGTATGGGAATGTATGGAGTATATGAAAATAGATACTAGTAATAAGAATACTTGGAAAGTATAGGTAGAAGATGAGAAGTTGACAGTAAGAAAAAAAATGAAGTATCACATCAAAATGAACACAATTGAAAAGAAAAACACGCAAACACAAACATTCAATGAAAAGGGTAGAGAGAAGACAAGTAGGCGCAGCGCAAGGGAAAAAGAAAAAATTATAAAAGTGACTTACTCCGACCATCGACGATTGTAAAATGACTGAATAGTTGGATTTGCACAGTTATTTATAGGCGATGGAAGTGAGAGTGAATTATAGAAATAGATTTTTCTCCAATTTTTGTATTTTCTCTCTCCGTTCAAGGACACTAATCGATGAACATTTGACCAGAAATGAGATAGAGATGACAATAACGAGTGAAAAAGAAAAAGACAACAAACTAGTACAGACGACACCAAACTGCAATAGACGACAACAACCTACAACAGACGACAATAAAATAACACAAACGACACTAAACTACGACAGACGGCGGGATATGTCGTATCCTAGACGATAACGACAGAGGTCAAATAGCGGACAATGGGTAAAGGTCATGCCCTGGATGATGTTTTTCATCTTCAATACAAGATCGTTCAAGAACCAATAACTTTCACAAAAATAAGAATAAACGCTTTAATTCATCGAATCGTAATAATCAACAAAAAGATAATTATGATGCTAAACAATTTAAATTTACAAAAGAAATGACTGAAATTATTGGACATGCTCTAGGTGTAGTCTGGAAAGCAGCCCACTAAAAAGAACTAAAATTCATTTTTTGTCGTTTGTTTTCATTTTCGGTTATCGTAATAAATGAAACTATAACTCCTTTATGTAGTTGACAAAAGCTAGCGTATGTGAATTACTTCGCACTTTAGAATAGATGAAGAAGTCAAAAGTGGCATAGTCTGAGATGGTCTATCAATTCTTATACTCGTTCATTTGTTAGCTGAAGATAAAAGCAGTCCATTCAATCGAATGGTTCTTTAGTAATTTACAAAATTTGTCTAGAGACTGTATAAAGTAAAGTTCTATTTGGGAAAATTTCGAAATTATCGATTAATTGAATTTCTCCGAAATATCTGACTTCGGCCGCTTATTTGATACCTATAATGCTATAATCTATCGGTTTGCCTTGTAGTTTATAAAAAGATTTAGAAAAATAATATTTTCAAGGAGTTCTGATCATTGTATAAATCATTCGTTTCTGTAACTACATACCTTATCTAAAATAAGAACATATCGCTATAAAACTTATAACTCGAAAATCAAATATGATCAAACAGAGCCAAGGAAATCGATTTATTTACCACTAAATCTAGAGGATATCTACCACTATAGAAGGAACTAGCTTATCCAATTTTTCGCCGTGTTCGCACTCCAACTGACTATATGTTTTTCGATGGGTGCCAAAATTGCAGTAAATACAGCTGTATTCAAAAAAACTTGCACAAAATTAAAATTTTTGTATACCTGTTTTCTTGTGGTTAGAAAGCAATTATGAAATCCATTTTTCCAGGGATATATGTTCGTTAGCTATACTACACGGTGACCATACAAGAGTATGATTTCTTTCCTTTTCTGTAACGAAATAAAAGAAAATTTATCCAGAACGCACCACAAAACAGTATCTACATAACAATAAACACTTCCCTCAAAATTGGCGTTTACAACACGACAATGATCCCACACACATAAGTCATATTACTAAGCAGTTCGCCGACAACTATGTACCACAACCATTGGAGCCGGCATCTTATAGAGAATATCTGATCTATGTAAAACGCAAGGTTGAAAAAGAAAACCCAAAAATATTCATGAACTCGGACTTTTTTTAGCTGAAGAATTCGCAAAAATACTGAAATTAACGTTGTAATAAATTTTGTGATGCCCATGTAACAAAGATGTTTGTCTCCCATTTCTTTTAAAGGTGAACGAATAAAATACTGAAATATAGTGTTCGATAGTACTCGTCGTAGGCTATCAGCCAGTATACGAAACTACTTCGAGTGACATATATATCACGATATATTTGCATAACAAGATGTGCAAGTTTTTTTGAACACAGCTGTATAACATTAACATTAGAAAGTACAAAATGCAATCGTTAATTTTATTTTTTCGATGGAGAGTATGTGTCTATTTTCCACTCTTCATAGAGCGTATTAATATCAGAAAAACACATATCTATCTCCGGAATACTCTAGATGAGTCATAGGTTACCAAAAATTTTATATTTTATAAAAAAAATCATCGAAAACTATTGTTTCATAAAAAATCCACCTTTTTAGTCAACACTGTAACCGATTTTTCGCCTAAAGCGGAAACTTTTTTTCAACTTTTTTTTTACCATTTTGTAGAGGAGAAAAAACTGTACAACATATCACAAAATCAGCGTGGGGGATAAGGGAAAAGATTAGATGACAGCTGATATACTAAAAAAAATGCACATATTTTTCAGTAAAAAATGATGGGTTCTTGACAGTATTTAATAAATAATCCTGAGTTAGCTTATTAGAATGGGATATGTAAATAGCTACTTTTGTTCAGCTTTTGACGCTCTATCGTTTGGTATATGACACAAAAAAATTCGTTAGTTTTTTGTAATAGGAAAAAATTGAAATTTATGAAGAAAATTTTCGGTCATATTTTTCGCACCTTTTCTCGAGTCCTTCTCAGTAAAATCGAGCTAACTTTTCACCAGCTCGACCAAATGAGCTAAAAATTTGGATTTAGAGGTTTCAAATGATGCTGAACAAAATGAGAATGTCAAATCAAAAATCTAAATTTCATCCAGTGCCTCGATATTTGACACGATACTCGATCGTCTCATGGATCCTCTCTTAATATTTTTCTTTTCTTCAATGAATATGTCATTAACAGAGGAATATTTTCCAAACAGCAGAGTAAAATGTTGCCAATAGGATGTTTATTATGAGTGAGAACGTGAAATTTACTTATTTGACTTAGTTTTTGATGCTGATTCCGAATATAACATTTGTTTTCAGTTTTTATAAAAAGATTACGACAAAAATGTCTAAAAACCAGCTGAAAATGCAGTCAATTTTCGTAAAAGTACGATATCATGGGTTATACTTAATTAGCCAAAGTTTTCTTTTCATTATTCTATAGTCCCACAGTCCTAGTATCTATTATAAAAGTTTCAGCTTTGAGGAGTTAGTTATGCAAAAGATATTGCTTGATGAAATCTAACTACTAGCGACACCTATAATCCGATCATAGAGCGATATATAGAGCTGGAGTTTATTTTATTTTGTAGGGCATTGCAATATGTATCTATCCTGAAATTTTCATAATTCTGCATCATTTTAATCAGAAATGGAACATTTGTTAGTGGACACTGAGGAAATCAACATCGTTCGTTCAAGGAAAAGAATCTCATAACAAAAATTGAATATCTCAGTGATGATTTGATCTATCGAGGTGCATTTGGTGGCTAAAAATACACTTATTAATGTAATTTTGAAATATGTAGCGGAAATCAAAATTCAGAAAAATCGATTGAGCGGCCTCTGTGGCAATAGATCGTGGCTTATCTGCAATGGTTGGTATATATATATAAGATTTGTATTGAATAAAACGAAATTGGTGATGAAATTCGAGTTAGTCACTCTACTAAAACATGCACATCAGTATACTGCAATGATAAAAGTTAGTGAAAACTTGGAAAAAAAATTGCTACTTCAGTATTCAAATCTGTATGTGCCACTATTCATTGGAGTTTAGTCGCAACCATTTAATTTTTGCTTATATCTATCTCAAATTCGATTTATTGAGATTCATGAACAGGAAAATAATCAAATTAATAATATTCGGTTTATATCAATGAACAAAATTTTAATGCAATGTTTCCATCGAAGTTTTTCATTGAGACAAGAATATTGAGTATGAACTGGATAATTTATGTTGATAGGGCGGATTCATTTACCTTTAAGCTCACACCTCACATTCTCTCAAATCTAAATACAATATCACTCATAAATTGCTGTGTTCAGGTTTATAAGCAAGCGATTATGAACAATTTATCTTATTCGTTGTTCAAAATTGTGTTATAAACAATTGAAATAATGAATATATGGAATTAAATACTATCAATGAAAATCTCTTGAATCTATAGTATATGACATCCATTGTAGTTATACGGATCATGATCGATGTCATCTATTTGCTATACAACAATTGAAATTTGAATATTTTTATGTGAGACAACATAAAAATGTGTATTATGAGTAAATGCATGAAAAAAAAGTGATATACAAATGTCACGCATACAATCTAGTTTAGCATCACGGATCTTTTCAAGTATCGTTTTTCTATGAAAAATAAAAAATGTTAGAAAAGCTATTACAAATTCATATAACTTCATAATGAGCAAGACCAGGTATAATTTTGCAACATTTGCACATAGCACTCTTTTTAATTTATATTGCTTGATGATGTAATTAAAGTTTTTTTTCCTCGCAATAAAGAGAGTTTCCACTTAAAAACATGAAATATCCGGCAATGCTTTTTGATGATTTTGAGAATGTTTAAAAGTTTTGCTTGAGCGTCTGTTCATAGAGTCTTTTGTTTCGGCTGAAGATTTCTTTCGATATATCAATTAAAATAAACGATTTTTTATATTTTGTCGTTCCTTCCATGCAAATAATAATAATGGTAAAGTACTAATAACTCCAAAAACCAAAAATAATCCACTTGTTGCTTCAATTCCGATCTCAGTCAATATTTGAGATGAATCAGGACACGTCTGCATGTCAAACCATTTGTGTCTTAAATTCTCCAGATCACCTCCTTCTTTTAATTGTAGAATAGTCACATCTAAAACTTGTGCATGTAACCAATGCTGAGGAATAACAATACCATATGAACTTTTATCAAAATCATTTCCAATTATAGTTAAATTACAATGTATATTATTCGTGATATATTCAGCAAGACCATCATCCAGAAAAGATGCATCAATGATACCTGCAAGTAGACTATGATATATATCGTCATACGTTTGTAATGGGTGAAAATTTCGAACACCATTAGATACTTCTCCCAAATAATAGTCTTCAATAGCTGAACCTGCCAAAATACCGATACGATTAAGTGGTATTTTTCCATTTTTAATATCATCAATTCCAGAAATAATATTATTTGATTTTGCAATTGTCAGATCAGATGCTAAATTTGCAGTATATGATGCTACTAATATCAAACCTAAGATATATAAGCCAGCAGTTAATAAACGTCCAGCAGATGTAGCGATTTCAAAATCTACACCATATCCAACAATATTACCAAAAGAATACCATATACTCATTACAATTTGATACAATATTGATCGATTTTGTAATGCTTCATTATCTTTTCTCTCCGCTATCCATATCAAAATACCAGCATAGATTAAAGTACCAAAGAATAATAACCAAAGATTACGTGAAAATGGCTTTAAGAATGAGAACAGATCAATTTTAACAGTGGATGTTGTTCGCATTATAATACGTAAAGAATTATCAAATATAGCATTGGAAAAGCCGACATATTCTCTTCGTGCAGAGGTAACAGTCACATCACCTATCGCTATATCATAAACACCAGTACTTACTGATTGAACGAATTTATCATATGACATATTTGATGGTGCTAATTCAATAATTGGAATAAATTTCATTTTATTTCGTAAAAGTTCAATAAGATCGGGCACATAGCCACTATACTTTATTGTAGTTTGTCCAGATGGATTTGTCACTTTTTCGACTATTGTAAATGGAACTGCTTCGATAACACCAATTCGTAAATTTATACCTTCGAGAAGTGCTAAACCACTAGGTGGTGTTAATGTTCTACCTGGCCACACTATAACATTTTCTTTTATAGGTATTCTCCAATCTCTAGGATAAAAATATTCTAATACAGGCACAAAATTCAAACCATTCGATGAAGGTTGAGCATTTTTTGCAGAATAATATAAACCAGTTATTCGATCTGTTACATTATCACTAAATTGTATAGGACCAGATACACCAAGAAATTCTGTTCTACTAACTGCATCTAACAATAACTTAGAATGAATGAAATGACGATCAAAGCAGTATGAAGATCCAATAAATGACAAACATGAAGAAGAAGTATTTATTTTTGATGCACACAATTGTTGTAATGATTGAATTAATGTCCATGTTGCATCGAATGCAAATAATGCATAATTATCTACATTCATGGATCCAGGAAATGATTCAGGTTCATATTGTTGCCAAATACTATATGCTGCATCTAATAATGTTGCATTAATTGTTGCATTGACAACTGATCCTACAGCTGGTTCAATCAAAAACATTCCAATTAAGTTGTCATAAAATGTTTGATTGAAAGAATTTAATGAAATAGTATTGCTTATTATCCATGTAAATTGTGGACCAACTACATTAGAGTCAAGAGCCTCTTGCAAAATCAAATATGTATAAAGTGATTCAGCCCATAATACAACTATTCGTGCTGCAGCATTAATTAAAAGACTTTTCAAATCACCACGAATACTAAGTATAGCAATATCAAATACAATCATTTGGCTGACTGTTAAACGACTATTATTAAATGCGTTACTAATAGCATTGGCTCCACCAGTTCCAAATGCATCATTTTGATAAATTATTGTACATGTTGTCCAATTATATCGAATGAATAATTTTGCAAGGGCTGCTGCAGCTACAAAGTCCGAAGCAACTGTACGATGAAAATTAGGATAAGCATTTTGATCAGATAAATCAGGATTAGTTGCAGAATATGATATAACAGGTATACCAAGTTTTTCGTCAAAAGGAGCAATTACCTGAGTTTCTCTTGATAACGCTGGGCCAACGACACCAACAACGTTTGAAACAGATATTGCATGACACATAATGTTCATAGCATCTATTATATTACCAGTAGTTTGCTCTGCTTGCCATCCTATGAATTCCCCTTCGATTGTTATATTATACTGATGAGAAAGCAACATTGCCGCCTTAAACATATTCCAAGATTGGACAGAGTAATCGGTAATGTCAGATGGATTTGATGGTTGTATAAAAAGTCCTAGCAGGCGAATGTTAGAAGAGTTTGATGACGGCCAACTTGTTGTTACATATTCTATGTTAAATTGTTCAATTATAAAATATAATAAGAAACATCGAAAGTTGCGATACAATAACATCATTATTTAATTGTCTAATAAATAAGATGGATTGAATAAAGTATCTGGAAAAAAAAGAACAAAATATACTAAAATTTAAATACAAGAGCAAATTAATATAAGAGGCAACAGTGATTGAGAAACCGAGCAAAAGTGTTTCTATCATATTTTTATATGATTCGGTAGAGTACGACGAGCTCTAAAAGAATATCTATATTAAAAACAAATTTTTCAAGACATTAGTTGAGATATAATTTACCAGAAACTTTATAATAACTTTGAAAACATTCGTTTTTTGTTTATAGAAGAAAAGTGCTCGATTTTTCAAGAAACTGAGCATTTTCAATTGTTAGTTTTGATGTACATAGGAAGCTTAGGAAAATGTTCACATAGTTGAAGCCTGAAAAGATTTTTTTTTCCATTATGTTCGGACTTAGACTTTCACGAAACGTATCAAATATTGAGCCCTCGGACACATTTTTTCCTCGCACACTCATATTGAAAAGATGCTTTCAATTACTCGGTATAATTTCGAACTATCGAAGCCTATCGAAATACATTGTGATCGGAAATATTATCCTATTGCACATTCATTTTCGACTGTCCAGATGCAGTTCGACCACTTGAGGCATATTTTTGACATTCTGTTTTTGAATGATTCTTCACTTTTATTCCTTGGTTCCATCAAAGAAATTTTTGCTTGTTCGATGGTCTGATATACCTTGATGATTATTACATCAGAATATGCCAGCTTCAACTAAAAATTGTAATAGAAATATATGTACATTTCTGATAAAACAATGATTATGATAGACTATTAGTTATTGAAATCCTCGAAAATTCATAGTTCTTCAAATCGCACATATTTGTGGTTACTCGTGAGCAAAGACTTAATCGATGGTATGATCTTGAGCGATCGATTTGGTTTTTCATGCTCGAATTCTAAACTGAAAGGGAATACTTCAGTGAAATTTATCACTGTTCTAGTTGCAATAGTTCTTCCATTATATTTTGTAGAACTCACCTATGTATATTTTTGAAGAAAATAGTGAGTGCAAGTTTTAAGTTCAAGTATTCGCGGCTCGCCCCTCTTCATTACAGACACTTAGCAACGCAGGCTCCCATTACAGACCTTAGCAATCGAGAATAATATGCATCAGCTCTTCTAGGTTTTTTTCTAAAATTGATCAAATTATAACTGTGAAGAATAATGAGTATCATTATTTGTGAGTCGATTAATATATACGATAGTGTGTGAAATCTATTGTAGATATCGTGAATATGTAAAACAGACTTATTTATCAATTAATTCAATGATTATAATAATAAGAATGTTAAATTAAGAAAAACGAATTGAAAAAAATGAAAAAAAAATGAGCAAATAGCAACAATGCAAACAAAAACTTGGGCACCCGTAGAAAAATAAAAATTTCTGTTTGAAATGCAGAAATTAGAGAAGTCATTACTCTGACTACCAGCTATGCTACAAAACACCTATAATGTACGAGAGGTTTTTCACGTTACATATCACGTATTAGTTTAATGAGACTCGAAAGCATATGTGAGTACCACATTTCAGCTCCAAAGAGACTGGGCTAACAAGTTTTTTCTGTACTCCTCTTGATCCGAAGAATGCAAGAATGTGTTTATAGCATCATGCAATGATTCGGCATCGTTTTGATCACCTATATTTTGTTTTTTTGATTACATCGAATAACCAAAAGTCACAGGGTGAAAGACCTGGAGACTTAGGTGGATGTAGTATTATTGTCATACCTTCTGATTCCAAATAATCAGATATAGCTTGATGAGCATGAGGTTTTCCATTGTCATGAAGGAGTTTAATACCACGTGTACCACATGATGGTCTTTGGTGCTTGATTTCATTGACGAGAGGTTGTAAACAATTGTCAATGTAATATTGATGGTCAACAGTTCGTTCACGTGCAATATGATGAATAATAACGGGACTAGTTGACTTAAAAAAGATCGAAAACAAGGTTCTTGGAGCAAAGTTATTAGATCAAACTACTGTAGGTGGAGGATCTTCTTTTGCCACCCAAGCAACATTCGATGATTTTCGACCGATTTCCTCATGATAAAACCACGACTCGTCACCAATCATCACATCACATATAGGCATGCACCGAACCCGGGAACAATCCTGGATTCTCGGGTTTGGTCATTCCCGGGTTCGTAGTGGTACCTGTGCCAATGGGCATATCATCTTATCTGATATCTTTACTTTTTCAGTGTGTTCTTGTACAATCAATGTTACGTGTGTTCATAATCGCATTACTCTTACGTTTATGTATGCTTGATTGAACCTTATTCTGTTTCTGTCGTAATGGGCTTCTCATTCTGCATTCACTCGTATATTATATGTATTGCTCTCATCTATGTATTCTTACTCGATTGTTCTTCTATATCTGTTCTCTCCTTGGCCTCATCACTTGTTCATTCTTACATTGCATAATCTTCTGTTATATCTTTCCTCTTTCCTTTCCTCCCCTTGTATTGTATTATCTATTCTCTCTCTTCTCTCCCATCTCTCTCCGATATACGCTCATGTTGTGTATGAGAGTGTTACATTTGGATGTAGTGCACAGTCGAATAAACATCATGCTCACAATGAGATTAAAGACATTAATGTGCCTCTCCATTTGTCATAACGAAATTATATATATATAGAATATGTATATATATATAGAATATGTATATATATATTTTTCGTTACAGTACTCACGGGTCCTCAAATCTTACCGTAGGAGGATGCCCTTAAGTCCTCAAGTCTTATTATTGGGGAGTACCCTTGGGCCCTCAAGTCCTACTATTGGGGATACCCTTAGGTCCTCAACTACTACTATAGGGATACCTCTAGGTCCACAAGTCCTACTACAGCGGCAAACCCTTAGGTCATCAAGTGCTACTGTAGAGGGTACTCTTAGATCCTCTACTCCTACTATAGGGGGATACCCTTGGGTCCTCAAGTTCTACTATAGGAGAATGCCATTGGATCCTCAAGTTCTAATATAGAGGGATGCTCTTGGGCCCTCAAGTCTTGCTATAGTGGGATACCCTTGGCCCCTCAAGTCCTACAATACGAGAGTAGGTAACATCATCTAGGATGCTAGAGGCATCACCCGGGATGCTAGAGGGAAAACTAGGATGCTAAAGCTGATTGGTTGATAATCGACCAATCAGATGCGACGAAGCTGTTTCTTCGTTATTGTAAGGACAAAACCTTCTTATGTTCGGGCCAAATGAAAGAGCACCCTAGATGACCCAAAGATCGGCCCGAACAACCCTATGTTTTGTCCGAATAATAGAGGAGAAAAAACGCACTACAATCTGATAGGTTGATAATCGACCAGTCAGATTCGGAGACGCTGTTTCTCATCTACTGTAAAGGCAAATCATAGAGTTATTCAGGCGGATCATAGGGTTATCTGGGGTGCTCTTTCATTTGACCCGAACATGAGAAGGTTTTTTCCTTATAATAACGAAGAAACAGCTTCGTCGCATCTGATTGGTCGATTATCAACCAATCAGCTTTAGCATCCTAGTTTTCCCTCTAGCATCCCGGGTGATGCCTCCAGCATCCTAGATGATGTTACGTACCCCCGTATTGTAGGACTTGAGGGTCCAACGGTATCCCACTATAGCAAGACTTGAGGGCCCAAGGGCATCCCCCTATAATAGAACTTGAGGATCCAATGGCATTCTCCTATAGTAGAACTCGAGGGCCCAAGGGTATCCCCCTATAGTAGGACTGGAGGATCTAAGAGTACCCTCTACAGTAGCACTTGATGACCTAAGGGTTTGCCGCTGTAGTAGGACTTGTGGACCTAAGGGTATCCCTATAGTAGCAGTTGAGGACCTAAGGGTATCCCCCAATAGTAGGACTTGAGGATCTAAGGGCATCCTCCTACGGTAAGACTTGAGGGCCTATGGGTACCACTACGAACTCGGGAATGACCGAACACCCGGGAACGACCGAACGCCGGGAGTGACCGAATCCGGGAATGACCAAATCCAGGGAACGACCGAACTCGGGAATGACCGAATCCGGGAACACCGAACCCGGCAATCGCGAAACCCGGGAAGTTCGGGCTCGGTGCATGCCTAATCACATAAGCGCCATATTTTTTTACAAATTTTTTAAAGTTTTCTTTGCATATTCGAACGCTTTCAGTCCGTTGGAAATAGATCAGATACTTGGATATAGAATGAGCGGTAAGTTTTCTAAGCTGTAAATGATCGCTGATGATTCTTTGAGTGCTGCTGTAACTTATACCATTCACATTTATGACAGCGATCAATGTGAGTTTATGGACAAAAAAGAATTGGTTTCATTGGTTTAAATTTTACAAACCTACCTATTCTAGGATAAATTCGATCTTTTAAAAAGAAATTTGTCCAACACTGATGTGAATAAAATTTTTCTGGTACTGATAGAAAATAATCATTCTACAGGGTGTCCCAGAAATAACGTACCAAAAAAAGAATTGAATATCTCCCTTACGGCTCGAACAAACGAGCTGATTTTTTTGTCAATGATAGAGGCATGTTCAAAGTTTATATCCATAAAGACATGCCTAGAGAGACCCTTTGTTAAGTATCACTATTGGCTTCAACAAAAACATTTTACTTTTTCGCAGATAGGAAAAAAACTATTTACAGAATGGAACAAAAGTCAGTTTGCCGAAAAAAAGAATTGAATATCTCTATTACGGCTCGGGCAAACGAGCTGATTTTTATTATCAATAATAGGGATACGTTCAAGCTTTATATTTATAAAGGCATGCGTAGAGGGACCCTTTGTTAAGTTTATTGTTTTCTTTTCCTTCCTACCTGCGAACAAGTAAAATGTTTTTGTTGAGGCCAATACTGATACTTAACAAAGGGTCTCTCTAGACATGTCTTTATAGATATAAACTTTGAACATGCCTCTATCATTGACAAAAAAATTAGCTCGTTTGTTCGAGCCGTAATGGAGATATTCAAATTTTTTTTTGGTACGTTATATCTGGGACACCCTGTACATGTTCAAATTGTTCATCATGATGTTATTAATTCATTATCTTTTATGAACTTTTTCTAAGTGACTTTAATAAGTTGCATTTCAATATTAAAACAAATATCCATATTGAAATCGATAGGAAATGCAAAATATAAAAAACTAAGATGTAAACTTACATTTTTTTATTTGTGAACGCAATATGAATTTTCTTCCTAGTTTCATAAAAAATATATTATTGTAATGGAAAGCTCAACTAATTTCATCTGTTTAAGTATGAATATAAAAAATATTGAAGAAAAAAAAATGAACGATATAGAAGTTCTAGAATATGAGTAACTATTGAACAATACTTTTAATGTAATCTTTTTAAAAGGACATCAAGGTAACCGAAGAAAACTATGGGAAAAACAAAAATTTTAATTTCAAATATAGTTTATTTTCATATTTAAAAGTATTACCTGAAATGTAGAATAAGAAATGAGACAATCAACAATAAACAAAAAAGTTCTATGACAATGAAATAATAACAAACAAGTATTACAGTTGAAATAAGAGTTAATCAAACTAATCAGATCTGTTCTGTTGTTGTCGTTGTTATTGTTGATTTTCAAGAAAATATTGATGCTCAAAAGTATATCTTAGATGATTTTTGTTTTTATATTTAGTTTATGATTGAAATATAATGTTTATTTCACTAAGCATATATTGATTAGATTAAGATTATGAATTTTTATCTCGATACATATTAAAATGTGTCAGTTTGAAGTACACTGTTTCAATGTTCATTAAGAACTTTTTCACAATGAACTTGAAATTTATAATAAATCATCAATAAATATTTCGAATAGACATAGGATTTTAACTCTTGCTGTCTATTCTATGAAGTTAACTTTAGAAGTTAATATCTTTTTCTAAAATTTGATTTCTATTGATTTAATCGATTATATCTTATGGTTGAAAGAGAAGAAATATCGTTTTGTCAAATAATGTTTCTAATTGAAAAGATTCATAATTTGTAAAAAAAGAAAAAGAAAAAGAAAAGTTGTTATTTTGTTGATGTGCTAGAAAAGCTATTCTATAACCTTATTTTTCAATTACTTTGAAAACACAAATGTATTTAAGTGTAATAAGGAAAAGGTTTTCCTTTAAACATAAACAGAGAAAGAAAGTGTTATAATTTAGTTGATTAATAAAAAAAAGTGTGGGTGTGGGTGTGAAGGTGTGGATGGGTTTGGGTGCGGGTATGGAGTGTGGGTGTGGGTGTGGGTATGGGTGTGGGTGTGGGTGTGGGTGGGTGTGGGTGTGGGTGTGGGTGGGTGTGGGTGTGGGTGGGTGTGGGTGTGGGTGTGGGTGGGTGTGGGTGTGGGTGTGGGTGTGAGTGTGGGTATACATGTACCAAACCCGAACACAACTTCGAGTTGTGATAACAAGTTAAACAAGATTGAACTCAACTCGAACTCGAACATATAAACTCGAACTCAGCTCAAACTCGAACCTCTGAACTCGAACTCGATCGAGCTCAAACTCAAAAGTTCGAGTTCCAGTCGAGTTTGAACTTGAAGGCTCGAGTTCGAGTTCAGAGATTCGAGTTCGAGCCGAGTTCGAGTTCAGAGGCTCGAGTTCAAGTCGAGTTCGAGTTCAGAGGATCGAGTTCGAGTCGAGTTCGAGTTCAGGGGATCGAGTTTGGTCCGAGTTCGGTCGAGTTCAACGATGATTAAGTAAATAATCATTTTTCTATGAATGAAGTATCACAACTGAGTATTTGATGACTGACTATATGAGTAGAGGTTTGTTAGAAGTGTGTCAAACTGTCAAATTATGCAATTGACATTTCAGAAAAGGGAATCTAATTTTATTACTCTGAAAATTAGTGTTGGATCCTTTTTATTTGTTTCAAATTTAGTTTTTACTACAGCCCAATTTTTTACAACTGCCATTCGCCTCATTTATCTCAGAGAAAAACATTATCGAAAACATTGATATTGACAAAAGCAAGGAAAAGTTTCGTCTCTTTTATATTATAACATGCTAATACATGTAAGTGAAGAGATAAAGAATTTCTGTTCCTCTAACATGAGAAGGGTGTGGGTGGGTGTGGGGTGTGGGTGAGGGTGGGTGTGGGTGGGTGAGTGTGGAGTGTGGGTGTGGTGCGGGTGCGGGTGCGGGTGCGGGTGGGTGCGAGTGTGTGGGTACGGGTGTGGGTGTGGGTGAGGGTGTGAGTGTGCGGGAGTGGGTGTGGGTGGGTGCGAGCGTGAGGGTATGGGTGTGGGTGTGAGTGTGGGAGTGGGTGTGGGTGTGGGTGTGGGTGTGAGTGTGGGAGTGGGTGTGGGTGTGGGTGTGAGTGTGGGAGTGGGTGTGGGTGTTGTACATCAACCTCACATTCACACCCACACCCACACCGTCACCCACATCCACACCCACACCCCACACTCACACACCCCACCCTCACACCTACCCCACACCCACACCCTCAAGAAACTTCATCAATAAGCGATGCTCAAAATTTTTGATTTCCCATCAGTATTTATGAATAGAGAACTGTATAAACTATGTACAGACAATACCAAAAATACAACAGGACTTCTTATTATTTTTAAAATAAATCATTCCGGAAACTTTTTCAACGTATCGTAAAGACAAAACGATCCATCACAAATATTATATAGAAAATTGTTTCAAACCTGTTATTAAAGAAATATAACAAGCCAATAAAGTTACAATGTACAAACGAGATCAAATTGCTTCACGACAATACTCGACCTTATACTCATTCAGATGTTATTAATTATGCAAACGGAAGAAGATATTAATATAATACCGCATCTATCGTTTTCATCTGATTTTGCATCAGGTGATTATTACTTAAATGATTACCTCAAACGTCATTTAACTGATTAATCAAATGAAAAATCGTTACAAGATAATAGAAAAAAATTTCAAAAGATAAATTTAACAAACAAAAAAAACTTTTGATAATTATTATTAGAAAGAATGAAATTTTTTATAAATAATCATTGTAACTATTTCGAACATTTAATAAAAAAAAGAAAACTTGAACATTCTCTTTGTTTTCATATGTTTTTCTTTTTAACAATGCACCAACTTTTTTTGGTCAAACTTATGTAGAATAAAAGATATTGAAAAACTTTTTTTCTTTTCTCCTATGTCATATAATTTTATCAAAAAATCTTACCTTTTATATCATAATTCATTCGTTCAGATGTATTAGAATTGCTATCAGTAGTAATATTTCCTCAATGTTTACGTTTTAAAGCAATTGATTGATTAGGAAATAACATTTCAATAACTGTACGATATGTCTCATGAAATTTATCATATGATTCTCCATTTAACCATAAACGATAAGTACCAGTATTACTATCAGTTTCATGGGGTTCATTTATTGCATTTCCAAATCGATATAAATCTGGTCTTTTCAAAGGAAAATTAAAAATTTTCTATAAAAAAAAGAATCAATTAAAATATAAATGAAAACATAAATGTGAAATTTTGTTTTTCTTACTCGATTATTATTGTTTATATCAAGTGCTCGTAATGAAAACTCATTATTATCATATGCACGTATTTCAACAAGTGATCTATCAGAATAATTATGATCATCAGTTGATCTATTATTTGATTTAAATTGAATACGAGAAGCACTGTAATGTATAACACTCATTTTATTTACAATAGAAAAACTTAATGATGTTTATTTAAGACAAAAAAGAAAAGAACGAAAAATAAGCAAATTTATATCACAGTCAAATTAAAACAAAGGAATATCTTCTTTTTTTCAAACTCGTACTATTTTGTACTCATTTTGTTTGGTTAAAAATAAAACAAATAGTGAATTATTTTTAACATTTAAATCATTCATTAATAAATCTTCATGAGCAAAACTACCATTGACAAAAAAGCATTGATTTGATTTTGGAAATTTATACATAGATTCAAACTATTTAACCAAAAAAAAAACAAATGAAATTTTTATTATAAAAATACATTGTTACTTACAATCGCTTTTAATTCATGTACTATTGTTGATTTATAAACATCTAATGGAATTGGTTTGTATTGATTTTTCAATTCATGATCAATACCATCAATATTAATTCTAATTTTATTGAAAAAAATAATAATCGAAAATTAAAGCAAAAGAATAAAATATTCTTTACATACGAAAATAAATCTTCATTTAATTTATCTTTTGTTATTTTTGTTTGAAATTGAATACCTTTCGAAATTAATTTTTTTGTTAATTCAATAGTACGTTCAACATTACTTTGTCCAATATAAGGGTGTGGGTGTGTGTGGGTGTGTGGGTGTGGGGTGGGTGTGTGTGGGTGAGGATATTCATGCCATCTGCACCCACACGCACGCCCACACCCACACCCACCCACCCCACCCCACACCCCACCCACACCCACACCCACACCCACACCCACACCCCACCCACATCCGTCACCCCACACCTACCCACACCCACACACTCACCCTCTCCCCCACACCCCACACCCATACCCACACCTACACACCTACCCCACCCACATCCACACTGGTCAAAGTCTCTTCGTCGGCATCCATAGCTGATTCGAATGATCACAGTCAACCATCTGGCCACGATAACCAGTCACGTATCAATCCTATTGTCTTCCGCGATAATGATGATGATGACCCGCGACAACCGAATTTATGGACGACGACAACGGAAACAAGCCGTCCCGCAGAAGTCAGTGATGACGACAGGAACACTTATGAACCTTTTTCCAAATTGAATGACAGTGTACGGCTTCAAACGAATTCCATAGACAACGAAGAGCCGACAAATATTGACATTGACAAACATATAGAGGAAAATAATTAACTTTATGATTCAAGTTACTTGAATGAGTTTTTTGACCTTCATGATTTGAGTCAAAAAATTAAAAAAATGGTGAATTGATAATGGTAGGCTTTTTTCTGCAAAATAATTGTGAATCATAATTTTCGACCAAATTCATGAAACGATCTTGAACTTATTAGTTAAAATGACCTTTATTTGATTTACTAGCATTGAAATATTTTTGAACGACACGCTCAAATGGTTTTTCAATGAGTAAAAACCAAATAGAAGAAAAAATCTGTGATATGAAAAGAATAATTGGTAGACTTATAGTAGCGGCATATGTAACTGAATACATTTTTAGAAACATTAGAGGTCCACCAAATATGAATTCGAATGATATTGGCCAATGAGTAAGATAAACCAAATAACTCAACTTTGAAATAGGAATCCATATGGAACTTGTAAGAAATCGTCGTATCCAAGGTGCATGGTACGGATGTGAAGGTGGACATAGTGCCGTGAACAAGATAAATGCTTGACCAGTGGCGAATATTTGTCGAGAACTGGCTATCGATAATCTTAGAGCAAGACCAGACACTAGTGGTGAATCGATTCGTTGTGTAGCTATTAACAATGTGTGGAGAAAGATCAAACATAAAAACAGATATTTCCTGAATGTACTATTTCGATTGTATTGATGCGACAGATGACTCACTTTTACTGCTAGCATGGCACCAATAATAAAACTTCCAAAACGTGCCTCCATTGGAAAATACATTTTTTGCATAAACGATTTCAATAGGTTTGATATATGGCACTCGAATGGAAATATAAGGTTATAATTTGATTGAAGCCATAAACACGTATGTTCAGGAATCAGGACTGCTAATGGATTATATCGTGATAAAATTGAGACGATTGGCATTGTCGTAGAATCAAAGATGATGATAGATCGAATGATTGACAATAATAATAATATTGCTAGGGAGTTGAAGATAGAAATATATTTACGGCATGAATAGAATAAATATAGTAATAATGGTAAAAGAATATAAGCTTGCATATCTAAACTGATCGTCCATAGAGGAGATAATGTAGTTAACCAATGGTCATAATCGACATAATTTTGAAAGAATAACCATACACTTACAAGATGGGTGACAGGATTGATATGTCGTGATTCACCACAAATGAACATAATTATAGTTGCCAACAAAATACCAGGCCAAAATCTCAGTGCACGTTTCAAAATCAACTTTGGATATTGTTGTAGAAATAGTCGATGGCTATTATCATCTTTCATCCATTGTATAATCAATTTATGGGTGAGTAAGAATGCCGACAACATAAAGAAAATTTCTAACGCCAGTGTCATTATAGGTGCTAACATAAAAGCTTGACTGTTTAAGAATTCTTGCCATTGAATATGAGGATAGGATGGTATGAATGCACTAAAAATTGTTACCAAATGACAAAAGATAATTAAAAGATTAGCAATAGCTCGTAGTCCATCGATTGGATCAAAATAGCCGTTCGTAACATCGTCACGACTGAATAATGCTAAAAAATCTCGTTGAATTTGCCAATACAACATTGATAATCTATAGTTCTATACACACAACGTTAGCGATTGATTGTATTGCAGAACGAATGTTATTCTTTTTTAAGAGACTATCTTATCAGAACTATTGGATGATAAATTACTGCTATTATGTTGTTCTGAAAATATAAATATGTTTTATTGTAATGATAGATGAGTTACAAATAAGTTTATGAGAATTTATTATTATTAAAAATAGTTTCTTTACTAGTATTACATGCAGTGACACATATTAACCAATATAACGGATTTTTCTCGGTTGAACACATCGCTTGAAGATCGAATCGTAGACGTCGATACAGAAAGCTTCGATAATAGAAATTTTCACTAAGAACCAATTTCGATAGTGCTTTTCGTCATCACTTCAATACAATTTGTTCCCAAGTTTCTCGAGTGCATATCATCAGCATCATGAATGTAGCCGATGATGGTTTTTTCCCCGTAGTTTCTAGGTACAACAGGAAAACGTTTGTTAGCACAGTTTCTTCGGGTTAAACTGTTCTGAATATAAGAAAGTTAAATTTTTAAAGTGGGAAATCATATCTGGATCTCTTAAATCGTCTATCATGTCATAAAATCTAGAGTTCCGACTCTTTGCTCTCGATGATATCCATTTGAAGCTTTTGATAGGTCTCTGAACAATTCAATTTCGATTTTCGATCACCAAAAGCCATATATTCTAATAGCAATAAGATAATAAAAACTTTTTATTTTTTGTCAGCTTCGCTGTGAATCATGGGAGTAAAAATCGATAACTATCAATGCTTGAAAAGTTTATGAACATCCACTGTTGAATTTCGTCATTATTTTATTTTTCAAAATAAACAAAGTACATACCTTCGAATAAAACATTCGTTTATAAACGATGATATATCTATGTTTGTCTTGAAAGAGGTGCGTTGAAGAGAAAATAGAAGAAAAAGAATAAACATTAACAAATATATCATAAAAGAAGAACAGATAAGACGTAACTCTACACAGTATACAAGCTTGATAGTGAATGGAAAGTGAGTAAAGAAAAATATAGTAGCTCAACAAAGATCAATCTGATGTATCCAAAAATGTTTCCAGTCATTTGAAAATTCTGCTCTACAAGAGAGATTTGAAGAGATCGACGAAAACAATGACCTTGAATAATGAAGTGTAAGTAATATTTATTCATTGGTATTAGCAAATCTGACTCTTTTGATGCGTTGAAGAAAATAAGTTTACCATAAACCACCATTCATCTCTAAAACTTGACCCTCAAAATATCAGTAAAGCATATATATTCTCGTCTTCAAGTGGTACAATAAAACTGACAATCTTCTCTATGTATGTTGGGCAAGTATGTGCTTATGGAAGAAAATAAAAGAAGACAAACGTTGTGGATCCTTTGTATTTGCACTATGTATAGTGAGATATGATATCAAGAAGAGGGAAAACTATATGGGGGATAGTCATAATATTTCCGCATCAACTTTTATCCGACAAACGAAAGTTTTTTCGTCTATCATGACAATTTTTCTCATTTAAAATTGATTTGCATAGGACACAATGCATACTGGAACACGATATTGCATTAGAAATCTGACTTTATTGGTTCATTATTGCGTTAATACATGATGCGAAATCGTCTTACTAAGTGCTTGTTTAGTCATATTTCACACATTTCAAATATTTCTGATAAAGTTTGATCCATTTGAATCATTCAAACTGTATAATTATCGAGTTGCGATATTCACTAACATGTAAATAAAGATTGAAAGCAACAAGTGAAGTGGCCATATTTATTCAGTTTTCTGGAATACATGCAATTCAGTGAGATTTATTCTTAACCTATAGCGAATGCTTCGAAAAAGTAATCTATATGTGCGTGTTGATAAAAGAAAAAAACGATCAAATATTGACATAAGGGATACGACATCAACTCGTAATATAAAAAGAAAGACATTTATATACTCTACAATACTCACATGATGATAATTTATCTCACAACTTTATTTTTGTGCACGATGGCACAGATAGTCATCTCACCATCGGTGGATCCATGTTGGAATGTTCCAGTGTGTGATATGTATTGTCCATATGGAAATCGGTTCGATACAAACGGATGTAAGATGTGTGCATGTAAGAGTAGTCCGTGTGATGAGGAAGCAACACCACTCGAAGGCTGCTTTTGCGGAGATGGTCCCAATCATCGTGAATGCCCATCGACACATTATTGTGCCATTTCGTCCAACAATGCCTATGCTGTCTGCTGTCCTAGTAGCCATCAACTACCACTTCCACTATCAAAGGACCCAGACACAGCATTGATCAGCAAGCCAGGCACCTGTCCACCACAAACGGGCACCGGAGATTGTGTTGCCTATTGCACTAATGATTTCCACTGTCCCGGAGAGAAAAAATGTTGCGATGGCTGTCCTCGCGCATGTATAGAACCTGTCTTTTGAAATACGAAATAGTTATCAATAAAAATAAAACAGTTTTTCTTCTAAAAACGCACAACGTGGGCATATTTGCCAACTGACGGTGAGTAATATTAAAAGTCAAAAGTCTTG